ACCTGAACACTCCTTGCAATGGCTATGTTATGTCAGGGTGTTTTCTTCTTCTCTTGTGAATTTTATTCCTTTGACGATGTTGTTGATAGTTTCATGTATCTTCTCTAGTTGTTCCTTTTTTATTATGATGGTGTCATCTACATACTGGATCCATACTTCGGATTGTACGTGTGTGAGTGCTATAGTTTCTAGTTGCTGAGTTACGGTCTCTGCTATGAATCCTGAAAGTGGTGATCCCATAGGTATTTCGATCTTAGTGTATTTGGCCAGGTCAGGTGTGTTGCGTAGTACTGCTGCCATGGATTCTTTCACTAGTTTCACTAGTTCTGGATCTATGGACATAGAGCACTGTGACATCAACAGACACATAGAAATAAACCATATTTACACACCATTCAAAAGAGGCAATAAAAAAAGCTGAGGAGGAAACAAAAAGACAAGAACATACTCTCTCCAACACCCAGATAAGCAGGGATTAACACCAGGCAAATAATCAAGCAGAAAACAATATCCTAATCAAGGAACTACCAAGGAGAAAACTATACCCCCACCAAAACTGGCAGGGCAAGCTACTGTGTGTAAACAGGGAGCAAACCCCATACTCATGCACACTAGTTGGGTAATAAAATGTCTGCAAGCAAACAACCAAGCACCAAGAACTCCAAACTTTTATCTATGCAATTTTTCAAACTATGAGAAATATAGTAAGACTTCAGGGAAATGAACTGATTGGTTAGCAGGCCTCCATTGTGAAAGGTTTATAGATGTAGCTAACTTTTCTTCTTTGTACTGGGATAGGCAATTTTTTTTCAGAGAGAGAGCACCACGGACTCCATAGTTCAACCCTGAGCTATATATATTCTCTTTTATGGAGATAAAAGTTTGCAATATTCCAGCTTCAAGCACTTCTCATTTACAATATTTAATTTAGGCTGGGTATAATTCAGCTGAAATGTTTCAATCTTCTACCCTGGATTGAATAGAAAACTAGCTGCTTGCTATATTTCTGTATTTTTAGTGCAACTAATTGCAACTAATGTTTAGATTGTTGAAGTCTGAATATTTTATATTTCCACTTGAGCTTTTCAAACAGATCAGGATTCACTACATGTAAATTTAAAAAATCATGAACTTATTAGAAAATCCTTGTAAGTATCCATTTACAAAGGAGTATTTATTTTTAGAAGCAAACAAATAATATACACAGTCACCTTTCCCATTTATTAATCACACAGGTTCATCAGGCTTCTACAGTCTGTTTTATTTCTTTTCTCATTTAAAATATAGCACTGAAGTTCTCAATACATATAAATATCCCTATGGTTTCTTAACACACTTTCCAGACATCATTATTTAAAGTGCCTAATAGTGAAAACATTTTCTCTAAGAGTGTCTTTTTAAAAAGGATGTCTTATTTAGATATACTTAGGTAATGATTTTATGAAAGTAACTCTGCTCACTGATACTGACTGAAAACATTTTTCACTCATTGAGTTGAAAGCAATAATTTTACAAGATATTCTTCAAACACATTATTTTGAGCAAGATACAGAATATAAGCTAAAGATATTATTTTTATGCACCCATTTCTGCCCCCCATCTGTTTCCTGTGATCCAAGCTGCTATGTCGATTAAAAACCAACTGGTGCAAAGCTCCGGAAATACATGCAAGTTAAAATTTGCTTAACACACATTTAACTTAAGGAGTCCAAGGACTTTTAAGTTTTTCCTGTGTTTATGGTTCAGCCACAGTTTTAGATGTGCAACTTTCTTTAGCAAGATTTGAAACTATTTCTTCTTTAGATCCAGGTTGATCCATTTCCATTTTGATTTGCTCTTTGGCATTTTCATTATTTATATCCTTAGCAAGATTTTCCACCATAGGATAAATATCCATTTTTTCCTGTGACAATGGACTACTTTCAGGCAAAGATGACTGAAGTTCATCCCCTTGAATGGTCTCTGGAACATCTTCTGCTTTCTGTTCAAGTCTTTCCAATATATTCTGGACTTTTCTTACACCATCTCTCCTGGCTTGCCGAACATCTGCACGACCCTCAGGGTCCACAGAGTCCAAGGCTAGCAGCTCTTTGGTCAAGTACTCTTCTATCCATAGATACTTTTTGTCATTTTTCTTTCCTTGAAAGGAATCAACTTCCTGCTCTAGGATCTGTACCCTATTTAGAATAGCTTCAACTTTCAAGACTCCTGGGTGTTTCTGAGGCTCTTCTGCTTCTGAAGTCTTCTGTGATTCATGTTCCTGTGGCAAAGGTCTCTCTTCTATTGGAACAACTTTAACAGGGCAAGGAATCTTGTTATCAACATTTTCTGCTGTAGGAAATGGTATCTGTTGTGGTGGCTTAATATCTACATCTGCACGTATGACTTGAATAGGGATACTTGGAGCTGGAATTTCTGTTCCAGGTGAACCAGCCTTGTTTTTAAGCTTGGTATCAGGTGGCAGAGGTGGCGGTGCTTCTTCAGTTGGCACTTGTTGCTGAGAAGCCTAAAAGAGGAGAAACAAGCTGCTTATTATTGGGAAATACAAAGCAAGAAAATAAGTACAGGGGTTAGAACTTCAGAGTTAATTATAAAGCTGAGTTCAACATTTCCAGAATTTTGGAGATTGTTCAGTATGAGGTGCTATGTATACATTATGTACCAGTATAACAAGCCTGAGAATAACCTTCTATGATGTAAAAGAAATAACAGGAAGAGAAAAGGCAATAGAAAAAAAAACCCAGTTGTTCCAAAAAAAAAAAAATTAAGAACAGAATAAACTATGGGAAAAGCTAGTTGTACTTTTCACAGGATACTAGTGAAATGTGTCCTATATTATAAACGTTCAAATGTTAATTACTAAGCTAACTTAATAGGGCTATATATAAAATCAAATGTTTTAGAAGAGTCTTAGGTTCAATCCAGTTATCTCCATGTAGGGGTAGGAAAGATGCTACCAAGCAGCATTGATAGTAATCAAAACAGACCAATAATGTGGCTCAGAATAAGACAGTTTTCTATAGTCCTAGGCCTCAATAACAGAAGATTATCATTACGACTTTCAGAAGGTTCTCCTGAACAGAGAGAAGTAACTGCAAATATTCTCATACTATTCCTATTCCCCTCACACTCTTCCATAGCCAGGATGCAAAAGTTTTCAGAAAGAAAGAAAAACACTCATAAACTGATTATTGTACAGCCCAGGTAATCACAAATTTCAATAAAAACTGGAGCTTTAATTTTTAATGTAAAATCCTTAGCATGCCAACAGATTATTATGGCTTTTGGCACTACTCTTTAACATTTTGAGTAATGATTTCAATATAATTAGCTAAAGAGGGGCTTGTAGAAGCTCACTATACTTACCTGAGGTTTGACTGACTGTACTCTGATTGGTGTTGGTGACTGGATTCTTCCTGGTGAACTTTCACGACTTCCTGAGCCCCTCTGTGACACTCTGAATGGAGACTGTGCCCGTTGTGGCTTCTGATCCAAATCATCAACTTGAATTTTATGGTACACTGGCTGATGAGGTTGGTAGTCACTTGGCTGGCCTGGGCAAGGCATCTTCTGTGCCTGATGATAGACTTGTGATGGCTGCCTTGGGGCATTCCCCTCATGGATTACAGGGATGGGAATATATCCCCGAGGGAGCTGATGGCTTCCTGAGCTATGCCTGCTGGAAGACTGAGGGGAAATGGTTGGCGATTCCAAAGATGATGGAAGCTGCTGGGGAAAAAGTGGTTATCAGATTCAGTTACCATGTTCCAAAAACAGAGTACAAACATTTCAGGTAAGGTTACTAATTTCTAATCAACATTACTAAGCCCAACCTATTTACTAGTAGTTATGTATGCTGTTTTGACATGACTAGACATACTAGAAATATTTTGGCCCAGTGGTTTAATAGATATTATCTAAGGACTGAAAACTTAGCAAGGATCACAGCAATATGTTGAAGCAATTTACTTGGCAGCATATTTTACTCATTAAAAAAACTCCCTTAAGAAAACTATTCCTATTGTTTATAAATATATACCTAATTCATTAGTTGGTTAATAAAGTTGGAATTGATTTAACAACATGCATTGGCAGTATTCTGATTCAGCAGACTGCATTGCTTTAAATATGAAATAGCCTTAAAACATTGTGCAACAGAAACCAATGGAATGTTCAATAGCATTTAACCAACCATCTGTTCACTCAAACTTTGTCCCTCATGGCTTATTATGTGAAGCAGCGTGGGGAGGTCCAGTTGGATCCAGTAAGTAACAAATTCCTTCCTCCTGGAAGGACTGATTTCAGCCTTATAAAAGAAGGCCACAGTGAGATTAGTTATGAAAAAAAAGTAACATCAGTGGATCCAGGAGATTGGAACAGGTTTGTAACCAACATCGATTTTGTGGGCAAGGTCCTCAAGAAAGTGGTGCTTGAACATATTCAAACACTCCTTGACAAAACAAACTTTCTACATCTATTTTAACCAGAGATTTAGACCTAGTTTGGGCAATGAATCTGCCTTGGTTACATTGTGAGATATTTACCAGGAGAAAGACAAAGTTGATTCTTTCGATTTCTCAGAGGTTTCTGATATGATTGACTATGGTATCTTTCTGCAGAGGATACCTCACCTAAGTATGGATGGAACAGTTCTGCAGTGGTTCCACTCATCCTTTGAAGGCCATCTCCAGAAGGTGTGAGTGTAATTTTGCTCAATCCCTTGTTAAATATGGGATTTAACAAGATTCTACTGTAACTTCTACACTAACATCTATATGAAACATCTATCATTTGTAGATTTAGAATGAAGCATCATCAGCATTCTGATGATATGCAGCTCTCTCTCCATATCATCAGATATATGAAGTCCTCACTGTGTGTCATTAAGTGTGACATGGGCCAAGGTGTTTTGTGATCCCAATGAATTATTTATTTGATTGATTGATCATGACACACACCCAGAACAAAAAAAACAAAATAACAAAATAAAAGGATAATGGAATAACCAAGGCCAACCATTGTAACAACCATTCAGAAACCTTTCATTCTGGATAGGTTCATCTAATCTCATAATATAGTTCATCTCAAGGGAAGAACTATATTATCAGGGCCTTATGAAAGCCCAGTAGGGTCAAGATCATCCCAATCCCAGGATGACTGAAGCTTTTTTTTAAATTGTGTTTCCCCATAGTTTTGTTTGATTTTTATACCTTTTACATTCTGTTTGTTTTTACTCAGTTTTTAACATAAGCCTCCTTGAGTATTTTTTTATTTGGTAGCCATATAAATCTAATAAATAATAATAACAAACTGAACCCTGGTCCAGATAAGACAGAAGTGCTGTCAGCAGATGGCTTAACTGTCTAGCCGAAGGTTCAAACTGTTCTGGAAAGGAGTCCCCCTAAAGGACTACATCTACAGCTTGCGAAAAGTGCAATTTGTTGTGTTTATAGTAATGTGGAATGTTCTTCCCTCAAAACTGATCCAAATGCAATGCTAGAAATTAACCCCTACCTATTAACAAACCCATTTGCAGAAAAGTATTTATTTATAAATCTGCTGACTATCACATCAGAATACACATAAAGTATGCACGTATAATCAGAAATATTTCAACATACAGGAGAAAAAAATGGAGCCATTATCATTTGGCAATGCAACAATTCCAATGGAAAACCCTCCAAAGCAATTCTGTCAACTCACCTCAGATCCTGAAGACTGTATTTGGATTGGGGCTGCTGCTGGTTGTGCACATTGCTTATCTGCCTGGGCAGCTTCTGCAAGCCCTCTAGCTGGAGACTGTGAACGGATGAAACTTCCTCTTGGAGATGATGGGGCCCGAACTGTGGTAGGAATGGTTTCTGCCTTGACACGCTGAACGCCAGGCTGATAGCCAGGATTGTATGAGTAATGCTGTCTGTTTTCTGCACCTTCATGTACAACTGGAATTGGAATATAACCAGCACGAAGTTTTGGATATCCCACATTTCCGTCTCGGACTTGGGCTTGATTTATACTATTTCGAGATGGACCATTTGCTGACGTGCTTTCCTAGATAAACAGATTACATAGTGAAGATTTAGAAATTAGGATTTTTAAACTTCAACACATATAATTACTAAGCTGTGCAATTCCAGCCAGGAGACTGAACACATTCTTTAGTAACTGTGTTTGTTCATTTGTTTGATTTATGGCCTTAGAAGCTCAAGATGGCATGTACAGTGCTCCTTCTTTCCATTTTTTCAGCAACAAAAAATCCAGTGGAATAGGTTAGGCTGAGAGAAACTAGCCCAAAATCACCCGATGAGCTTCTGTGGCCAGGGGTGGACTTGAACATCTATACCTGCCAATCAATAACTACATGAACTACATACGGCTATTAAGATAAGACATATTTCATGGTTTTTGAGATGGGTTTCACGGTAGCTCAAAACAGGTATTTTAAACGTAATTCACAATTAATTTCTGATCTATTAATAGTACGTTTTTACTCTATTATCCATATTTAACATACAGTAATTATTAAATTATTTTAATACAGTTTTGATGAAGAAGTTTCAAAGGCAACAACTGGGTGATTTACAGTCTAACACTTTATATGCATTGCACCAGTCCCTTAAAGGCAAAAAAATTGTGCTAAAACATGTAAAAGTAGGCCACTTCAGACAAGCAGTAGAGTATGGGACAGAGTCATTCTCATTATCCTTCCAGCTGGTGATATTATAAAGTTTAAAACTCAAGTGATAGAATCTTGTATAGAAAGATTCTAGAATAAATTTTTGGATTTCCAAGCCGAGCTAGAAAAGATGTCTATCTGAACTGCTGTCTCTGTCAGACATCACAGAGTTAAATGGGCCAAAGCTCTGAGGAACAGCAGCTTCCAGCAATCCTAAAATAAATCTCTATGTTCTACCTGCTCTTCTTTCTGCCCACGGGCAGCGGGAGAAAGACTGATGATATGAAGTGCTTCCCTCTCTCTGAGCTGAAGCCCCGTCCACCACTCATTGCTCAAGATTCTGCTCAAAATTACAGCATGCTGACATATTAAGGAGACAAACCTACATGTTCCTCTCTGGCTTATGAAAAAGCCTGGAGGTTGCAATAGCACTAAGGCAGAGATAATTACTGCAACTGTGTTGGGGTTTGGAAGCCCTGTGTAACTGCAGCAATTTCCATTTTTAACTTGAAGATGAAGATTGACCCAGACTTTTGCCAAAACATGGAAAAATACTGAAAACAAAGGGAAAGGCAAGGTCTTGACAAACAAGAATAGCCAAAAATGTTTGACTCTCAGATACAGCTATCTTCCTATACCATTATTAAAGGTTGCTGTTTCACTTCCAAGAGTAAAATTATACTCTTTCGAATCACTTGTAACTGATCTTCACCAATATTCACAAACACTTTGATTAAAGCATAAAAGAACTAAGCAAATCTGTATTAGACAGGAATTAAAAAATGCTGTTTTTCCAAAAGAACTGGAAAACTACCAAAAAAAGGAGGGGGGGAGGGAGCGAGAATGGATCAGATGTAAAGATACTAGAAACATTACAAAAAAGTAGGCAGCACTGATAGTTGACTGCAACGGATTGTTACTAATCAGTTGCTTAATGCTTTCTACATTAGTTTAAAAACATTTTCTATTAATGCTTTCTAGTTTAGTTGAGCATAGTCTTCCCCAACCTAGTCACATTCAGATCAAGATCAAGACTAACAGTTGCGTTCACTAGGGATTATGGAAAATGGCCTAACAAATCTGGACGGTACTGGTTTGGAAGTTTAACCAACACTAAAGATACTCATAACTTCTGCATTTCATTTCAGTAAACTTAAGCCATGGTTGAAGCAAACATTTACCCTTTTAAGTGAATATTTGTTTTGTGAACTGAGATGTAAGTGAACACAAAATGTTTAATCTTCTCTTCTGCAGAGTTTCATTTATTCTCTTGAAGTTTCATTTCAAATATCATTATACCTCATACATGCAATTAGCGATGGGAAGATATGGAAAGAAAAACAAAACAAAACAAAAATTTATAATTTTTTTCTTATGTTCACATCTTTACCTGTTCTGTCTGAAAAAGGTAAATTGGCTATGCTAGTCCATGATACAATTAACAGCATAAAAATGCTTCAAACACCAAAATGAACAGGACACAGACAAAGGACAATGTTCTTTTTAATGCTATTTAAAGAATGCCATTGGAAGTGGAAACAGATGGATCCATTTAAAATCAAAGTAGGAATTTATCAGCTGCAGTAATGTGAAAATGAAAGTGTGGGGTGAAGTTTAAAAGGAAGAGTAGGTAGATCAAAAGAAAAAAGAAATCAGAAAGAATGGAAGATAAATGCTATAAGCTTAAGTATGTTTGTAATATGATAATTAGACTGTGCACAGGATAGAGACAGAACTTTATACAAGAGATTCCCCCTTTAAGTCCTCTAATGAAGCTCTTCCTGCAGTGGTCATTCTATTTTGGGAATCACATTCTAGATGAATCTTCCAGCAAGATCAGATAGCAACTACTGCTGTTGCTCACAAAATATAATTCAATAATGCAAACTTTATATGATGGTATCAGTCCTCGATCTTCCGAGAATATCAGCCACAAGGTCTATGCAATTTAAAGTAATGAAATCCCACTATGACATTTGCAGTATATGGAAATGCAGCAAACCTGCCTTTTAAAGAGACAACTGTGCCATCACATTAGATAATTTGATCTCGTGTCAAACCTTTGTTAGTATACAGAATTTTTACATTCTGATACCATTGAATATTTCAGAAAAACTCTACATAAATTACTACCCCAAACATGTAGCACAATTCTCCTCTTCCCACAGTGACCCTGACCTAACACCCCATTTCAATAAGTGGAAAGATAATCTAGGTTATCCAAAAAATATTTGAATTGGCAAATTTTCCATTGACTTAAACAGAATGTGATCTAATTTAGGTGTTTATTTGACTTCTACTTAGTACTCCAAACGAAAACTTTTTTCTGGTTTAGTAGACTGTTTTAAATCACAATTCTGGCTTTCACAAAATTGAAAATGAGAAAAGGGCTAAGTAGGGTAATTGTTCATTCTGCTCTAACTGAACATGACAAGGAAAAAAATAAAAGGTAAAGCAGCAGCAAAATCTAGCATTTTGCATAGATTCTGTTACATTTACAGAAAAACCTAACATTATTAGATTTCTAGTAGTAATTGTTTGTAATAATTATTACCAGCCTTGTTAGCTTTAAGGAGAATTAACAAAGATATAATATGCTTTAGTTGTTGACACAATGAATTTTATGAAACAATGCACTGAGGAAAAATATTCTCAACAAAAGTTGAGCATTGTAATAAATTGGATTGACAAGCCCACATTAAAGCTTTATTGTACACAAATATAAATTTAACAATGGACACACTAATATCACCTTGCAAGAACACCATAGAGTTATTCTTTAGTTCACAATTTTTTCTTACAACTGCTTACATTTATAAAAGCATATAACTGGAGGATTCTGATTTCACATTTTAAACCTGTATTATTCAAGTTCACTGGGCTTTATTTTGAAAAAAATTAGTGAACTATATACTACTTCACTGATGAGTAATACATATTACTTATACACACACATTAGCATATATGAATATACTATTATAGTATATTAATGGTACAAATGAAACAGAAAAGCATATATACCTTTTCCTTGTTTAGCAGCCACAATCCGTTTCTTAAATTGGAAGTGGTCACTAAGCAAACGTGTGTGTGTGTGTGTGAGAGAGAGGGAGGGAGGGAGAGAGAGATGCTGTGAAGATCATTGGTTGCTGCTGTCTCATTTAGCTAAAGTTCTCTTGTGCAGCAACCCCAGCATTACTACACTCCGGTATGCGTTGTTGTCAGGCGCAGAAATTTGGGCATAAGTGCACATATTAGTCAGAAAATGATTTTTTAAAAAAAATAACCATCGTATTTGCAAATGGTTGCTAAATGCAATAGCTGCTAAACAAACAGTGGCTGTACAGTATAAGTAAATATAACCTCATTTATAAATATTCCTTTCTTAGCATGTCTCATTTTTTTTATATGTCTAACAGTTTTTAACAGACTGTTCCAACTCAGAAAAAAATTATCATGATTTAGATAATGAATCAGAGCATCAACATTGGGATCTTGAAAAAGGTCCACTGAGTTACTTTCATTTTTTTGCAATTTGTTGCCCTCCAGATGTTTTGGAATACAAGTCCCATCAGCCTGTGTGTGAGCAGGTGTACCTCCAGTTGTCTTGCTGTAGGCCAGGAGGACTGCTGCTGTACAGTGGCTACCATATGCAGCTCTATAGAGCAGTTGGCAGCACAAGAGAGTCAGCTGCATTGAAGCAGAAAAACAGGGGCAAATGAGAGGGGGCAGGGGATCACAAGGATCTGGGGTATGGCAGGGACTAGCAGGCTGTACTTTCTTATTAAGATTCTTGTTCTCTGCTTTTATTTTCTTTTTTCCAGGAAAGAAATATTATGGTTATAATTATTACCAATATAACTGATGTGAGAATGAAAGGAGCCTGGAATAAGTTGGCATACCTTAGATACATAAACCATGTCCATTTCCAGTGAGACGTCTACATAGCTTACTTCTTGCCTATGCCTAACACTGTTTACACAATGAGAATGGCTTAATAAGCTAATTTATTAACCAAGGATCTCTGGCTTCTAAATATGGTACTTTGTTTTAGACAAGAAAATTAGAGCTCACTCTGCCTATAAAACAATGTACTGGCCCTGCATATGCAGATCAGAATATGGGAGAAAAAGTGAAAACATGATTTTCTTTTGTTTCAAGTACAAATTATTTTTTAAAAGCGGGATTGCAAAAAAATGAATAGTAGGCATTCACCAGACACGTACAGAAATAAATTATGAGTACTTCAACAAAAATGGCCAAAATCAAAGTACATTAGAATTTGGCATTACATAGCAAGAGCAATTAAGAACAATCGAAGACATTAGAAAGCCAGTCTGGTGTAGTGCCTAAGGTGCTGGGCTAGAAACCGGGAGAC